AATGTTTCATGCATAGCACTATTAAAGGGAGGATTTATAAAAGGAGATAGAACGAAGAACATTTCACCAGAATTATTCTACATACATGATCTTCAGGAAAATTGTGACATTGATGTGCATCAAATTAGTTCAAGTGACAATCCAACAGATTGTCTTTACCAACATCAATTTTTGAGAATATGGTATACAAGATTGGAATGTGGAGACTCAAATATTTGAAATAAGGTTTTCTTCAGGGGGAGTAAAATGCGCGCTGTACTCTTTTTCCCTTACTAAGGTTTTCCCACAGGGTTTTCCTTATAAGGTTTTTAATGAGGCAGTCAGCTATGCGTATTACTAAATATGTGTACTCTTTTTCTTTCACTAGGATTTTTTCCCACGTGGTTTTTCCTAGTAAGGTTTTAATGAGGCACATTATCTTTTAATGAACATCCAAGGGGGAGTGTTATAAATATATTATATTATGGATGTTCATTTAGTACTCCGTTGTAAATAAGCTTCCTGAAGAAGCTTATCCATATGGGACTCCACCGTAAATATGTTTATATATTTAAGTACTCTATTGGAAATAAGCTTCCTGAAGAAGCTTATCACTTCGATACCCGGTTATGGATAAGCTTTACCCCCGGTAGAAGATTATCTATACCGGGTATAATAAGCTTATCCTTTCAGTACCCAGTTATGGATAAACATTACCCCCGGTAGAAGATTATCCATACCGGGTATAATAAGCTTATCCTTTCAGTACCCAGTTATGGATAAATATTATCCTTGGTAGAAGATTATCCATACCGGGTATAATAAGCTTATCCTTTCAGTACCCAGTTATGGATAAACATTACCCCCGGTAGAAGATTATCCATACCGGGTATAATAAGCTTATCCTTTCAGTACCCAGTTATGGATAAATATTACCCCCGGTAGAAGATTATCCATACCGGGTATAATAAGCTTATCCTTTCAGTACCCAGTTATGGATAAACATTACCCCTGGTAGAAGATTATCCATACCGGGTATAATAAGCTTATCCTTTCAGTACCCAGTTATGGATAAATATTATCTCCGGTAGAAGATTATCCATACCGGGTATAATAAGCTTATCCTTTCAGTACCCAGTTATGGATAAACACTACCCCCGGTAGAAGATTATCCATATCAGGTATAATAAGCTTATCATTTCAGTACTCCGTTATGAATAAACATTGCTCTCAGTAAAAGATTATCCATATCTGGTATAGTAGCAGCTTACACAGCAGCTTCCTTTCTTCTATAAATCGAGATTTCAGTTCATTATGTACATCAGTTTGAATTCGAATAATATATCACTTTCTCTCTATACTTGTCTTTACTTTATAGTCTTTATTTTATAACAATATCAAAACTTTTCAAACTTTATATGATTCGTATCGAAAAACTAAACATCTTTATAATTTGTTGCTTAAATTTGGTGTTTCAAAGAATTGTGGTTAAAATTTTCATATACACTATTTGAAATTGAAGTAGAATATTCCTTCAAAATAGTTTCAACTAAACATTTATTTACAATTTTTTTTCAATATTTAAAAATATCATCTATGTCTAAACGGCTTGATAAAGCCAGAAAGTAAGAGGAAGAGAACTTTACCGGAATCGGAGTTCTAGGGCTCAACTGCTAGGTGACAAAAAACAAAGTAAAAACCAGCAACCTTTTGAGACATTTGACGGAGGATAATAATTCTGAAGCTGGCATCAAAAAACCACTTCTTATCTCTCTGTTCATCGATCTTATTGTTCGTAATATATCATTTTTTTCTAATTTGGTTTAATCTATTGGAGTATATATTTTCTGTTAGTGGTATTGGATTATGTATATAGTTAGCTGATTCTGGATAAATTGAACAGGTGATTGAGGATGGAATCATCACCTTCGTCATCGTCAGTGATAACGCCAGAAGATGTAATGGGGACTTTGATGAACGACGGCACAATCGATTCCATGAGGTTGAAAATCATTACTCACCTCAAAGCTAATGTATGTATGTGAGTGAGGATATATCCATTGCGCGTAAACATGTATCATCCCCTTATTTGTTGTCATTACATTCATATTCCTACGTTTTTTTGTGTGTGTGATATTATAGGAAGAGCTCAAAAATACCACCATAAAGATGGTTGAGCAAAGCAGGGTTCTCAACACTCCTGGTGCTGAAAAGCAGACCAAAAGAGAGCTATTTGATGCACTCCGGCAAGAACTTGAGTAAGTTTTTTTTTTTGAGAAGTTTGTTTGTTGTTTTTTCTGTTTTGGCTTCTGCATTATCTCAAGAAGTTCAATTTGACAACACGAACTGAAACTGAAAGAATCATTTTATTAGGACTTTTGGGAATTTGGACTTGTTAAATCTCAATATATTTGTTACGACCCGGCACCTAGGGAGTAAGCCCCAAGCAAGTCTTCTAGGGCTATCCATTCAACACGTAAAATGAATAGTCTCCCCTATTTATAGGGCTATCCGGTATATCAGCTAAGGATATGATTTTCCGACACAACAATCAGAAATATCCTTCTAAAAAAGCACAACATAATTATAGTGTCAAAACCAAAATATCAAACAACATTACTAATGTTATAATGCCTCAAAGGGTCAAAACCATTAAACGGACTACAACCCCAAACTAGGACTTTAGAGTACATGGGGCATAACTCTAGAATCAATCTTTACATAACGCAAATAAACAAAATAATCAAAGAGCCTCCACGAAGCAACATGAGCTCACATAAGGACATCTTCTAAGTGTGCCTGCTAATTCTCAATTGCCTCGTCTATGTCTGTGTCTAAACAAATGAAAAGAAAAAGTAAACGAGAGGGGTGAGTCCACCTGCTTAATTTGTAGTTACCCAATCATTGGATCAGGGATATGCTATTTCAAAAATACAAGTGCACATAATTATGTACAATAGCTATTACAAGTACATTAATGATACTCTCATTAGTGTTCACTCGTAAAACAAAAATATGATTTATTATGGGTCTTTTAATCAAGTAATAACTCCCTTAACCCCTGAGCAGATAGGGTTCCTAGTATGCTGCCAACCCCAACGTTCAGACTGGCTGAATACAAATAAGCTCCACCATACGGATGAGCAAGTCAATCTGTTTATGTTTTAGTTTAGATACGTACTCTTATTTTGTACCACAAGTACGAGCTCAAGCCTTCGCCAAGTACAGAATCTGATACTTTTCAATACATATGGGAAAGTATTGGATTCTGTATCTAGCTAAGACTTGAGCCTGTACTTGTGATACGATGAGTATGTATTTGAATTGTATTGCTCACCCGTGTGGTGGAGCTTATTTGTATCCAACTTCCTAATATGGAAGCTTACCAGGGTCTGCAACTTCTTGGGGATTAGGGAAGCAGTTACTTGGTTAAAAGACACATAACGAGCTATCGTTCTATGCTACCAGTGAGCGTTGAGAGCTTTTTTTTTTCCTTTTCTTTTTGCATAACCTAGAAATGCACGAGGGCTCGTGGTGCATTGTTCAAAACTCGATAGATAATGGGTCATTCCCTCTACTGTTAAATACTAGGTTTTTATTGAGTTGTGGTTCGACCCCGTGACATGTGCATAACCCACCACATCACTTGTTGCACTCTTATCACTAGACTAAAGACCTGGGGACGTGAGCAACAATAAGAGTATTATAAATGTATATGTAATAGCTATAGTACGCAATTATGTGCTTGTATTTTTGAAATAGCATGACCCCAGTCCGGCTTTTGATTGGGTAACTACTCACTTAGTCAGTGGACCCACCCCTCTTTTTTATTTCTTTTATTTTCTCAGCATCTTTCTTACTCTAATGCACAAAACCATCAGTTATCTTTTGGGTACCAACAAAAGGGAAATAAAAGTTTAGATATAATGTTTGTTGATAGCCTGTAGGACTCAATTGGTTTCACTAAAAAGAGCTTCTGCCCCCAGCCCCTTCTGTTTGGGACTTGTGCATTGCTTATAAGCTACTGAAGATGCATTGCTTATAGCTACTGAAGGTGGCTAGCATATAGTTACTCACTGGCTCTCTGCAGCCTTTATCAGCCGAGGAGTCAATGGAAAATTGTCAGATGATCCTTAGTAACTTAACATTTGATTCTGGTTAATAAAAAACTTATCCGATGACTTTAGAACTTCTGACATATGCATGCTTAATTTTCAAAAGAGAAATGGGGGGAGAAAATTCTTATATTGCATTACATGAACAACATATAGGAGTTTAGACTTTAGACTACTTAGAAAGAAAAAAAAAAGAGTTTAGACTATGTGAAATGAGGAGTTACCAAATAAGAAAAATTACCTGAATAGTGAGTTTGTTAATTGTGATACAATTAGAAAAAGAAATCTATCTATTAACTTAACACTTACAAAGAATCTAGAACATTCTATTATATAACTGCATTAATTCTCTTGACTTTTAGTATGCCTCCTAAAATTCAGGCAAGTGAAACAATGTGAGCTTGTAAATTAAAATTAGAAGTCAGTCGAGCATGCGGAAAAAAGTTACTGTTTGATGACCTACTATCGGTGATTGGATAATGATGGAATAGCTGACTGGAAATGGTGTGGTTGTTGATTGCATAGCGAGATGGTGCTTGGTGGATATTGAGGTGCCGCTTGACGGCGATGTGACACTGATTATCAGATATATGTTGTTGGACCGCGAACATCATTGATTGGACAAGTATGGATTGTTGACTTGATATGTCAATAAACTTATACTGGCATACCAATAACTTGATAGGCTAGCAGTAAAATACTGACATGAGATGTTATCTGTTGCACATTGATGTGTCAGTCGGGGACAACATGACGCATCCTATCGAAACAATGACCATAATTGTGAACGGTGATGCCAGAATGAACATTTGGAAAAAGAGTTGTGTCATTTGAATGGTCATCCAAAGACACAAGAGTAGTAAAATTAAGAATGAGAAACTTTGGTCGGACAAGTCATAAAGCCACCTGTTTGCATGCAGAAACTACTTAAGTCTATACCTAGATCACAGAGGTTTTGAGGCCACGCAAAAAGAGAAGTGAGAGAAAATTCTCATATTGATAGCCTGGTTAACCAAGTTTTTGGAAAATTTGAAATGCTTTTATTTAAAATACCTTTGTTTATAACTAAGAAATCCCCTGTGGGTTATTTGGCCGCTCCCTAGTTGGCGCACAGGTTCTGTCCAGGGAGCAGGGGCAGCCCACCCGTTTTGCCCTACTCTCACTTAAACATCAGGCTTTAGTCATCAAGAAGGTTCAAACTCGGGAAGCATACACAAGACATCTCGCTCTGTAACTTCCTTACTGTTGAACCAAAGCCTTGACAGTTGTTTGGCCTTGGAAAAGATAAGTGATAATGAGTAATAGTCGAATATTTTCTACTGCAAGAAGGAAGGAAAAGTATGTAGCTTCTCCTTCAAAGTAGAAAAGTATTTTATTTAGAATAAGAAACCCTTATTAGAAATTTATATTGTTCAAACTATCACTCCTTGAGTTGATTCATCTGTGATAAAATTAAAACAACCTCAACTAAAGTCTCTCCTAATGAATATATAAAGTTGTTACTCCCTCCATTTCAATTTATGTGAACCTGTTTAACTGGGCACAAAATTTAAGAAAAAATGAAGACTTTTGGAATTTGTGGTCCTAAACAAGTCAAAAAGGGGCCCAGAGTATTTGTGTGGTTATAAAAGTTTCTCATTAAGGGTAGAATTGTAAGTTTAAACTAAATTGTTTCCAAATTTAGAAAGGAGTCATTCTTTTTGGAATGGACCAAAAAGGAAATAGGTTCACATAAACTGGAACGGAGAGAGTATTTATTATAATAACAATAATGGTAAAGTGAATCTTTACATGTTCTTTTGTTTGTAAAAAAATTGACATTCAAAAAACTTTTCTGAAAGATTGGCCAAACACAAATTGTTTCTATAATATTGACAAAAGCACTTCTCAGATGATTTGGCTAAATACCAACTGCTATTCTCCTGTAGTATTTCTTCGAAAACTATTTGAAAAGAAGTCATTTAAAAATAAGTAGATTTTGAAAGTTTGACCAAACTGGTCCTAAATTATGAGAGACTCATTATGTAGGAGTTCAGATTGATAATAGGAAAGGTTAGACTACATGAAACAAGGAGAGTTATTATTATATGAAACAAATTATCTAAATAGGAGATTCCTGATTGTGCAAGAAAGTAAGAATGTTCTATACGATTAGTCTTAATAAATAGAAAGATCTCAAAACATTCTGACATTGAATTGCATTGATTCTCGACTTTCAACACGGCCCTGAAATTGAGTTTGTAAACCTAAATTGGAAAGTCAAGTCAGGCATGCTGAAAGAACTTTACCATTAGATGATTTAACAGTTAAACTGATGTTTTTTTTTTTGACTTTCACTACGTTTGTTCACATAAAAACTTGGGGTTTTGACTGACTTGCATAATCTTCTTAGAAGATTGAATTGAAAGATATTCGGGGAAAAATGTTTCTTATTATACTTATAATATGTGGTCCATATAGTAAGTTATGTGTCTGATCAAGTTTCTCCCCTTGTGTCTGGCCGCTTAGTTCCGGATGTGTCCGATTAGGTTTAGAATGAAACCTAGAAATCAATGAGTATTTGTTTTACTTATACTATTTTGGTTGAGACAATCCTTAAGTATGGAGTGTTGAAATATTATGGACCCAAATAGAGCGTTTATGATATTGAGGATTCATAAATCCGAGCCCAACTAGCTTGGAATTGAGGCATACTTTTTTGTTGTACACTATTTTGGCTGAGGGGCAGAAATACCTACATTGGTACATGTAATTGTGGGTTTATTGTGCATTAACTTATAGGAAGAGTAAAAAATGATCAAAACTAAATCTATAGGAAGAGTAAAAAGGCATTTCAAGGAAGTCCCTTGACCTTGTGTTACATCTCAGTTAAGTGTTTGGTCGGTTGTATTTGCGCTGTAGTATTGAAGTTCTTAAATAAAGGGTCTATTGGAAACAACCTCTCTATCCTCACAAGGTAGGGTTAAGGTCTGTGTACACACTATCCTCCCCAAACCCCACGGTGTGGGATAATACTGGGTATGTTGTTGTTGTTGTTGTTGTTGTTGTATTGAAGTTCTTAAATAAATGGATTTGGGATCTTGATATTAGATGTCTGCTGTGGGCTGTTGGAGATTCTGCCGCTTTATAGTTAGTGCTTGAAAATTCTATGATCTTACTCAACGTTGTCCATTTTTGCCAGAATATTTGGTACTGGTAGGAAACTGAATCTTGTCCAATATGCAAGTTTGTCAGATTTATTCTGCTTCTATAGTTTTTACCAGGACCTGGAGATGCTCATGCATCCTTCTTAGGATGTGATGATGCTTAAAATTCCTACTTGCTTGCGCTGTTCTGCTTAATTTATTCTAGAATTATGCCCACAACATCTTCCTATGTCATCTCATTTGAGAATTGACCAATTTTCAGCTGCAGAAAATCAGAGCGTCAATGCCTTTTTCCTATGTTAAATGCTTTAGACCTTGCTGAACAAAAGATGGTCACTGTTCTCGTTTGAGTCAATGTTAAGATTAGGATGCAAAGAATAAGTGCTTGTCTTATGAAATTGTCTTTCTTTTTGGTTGCCCTTATTTGGTTTTTTTATCTCTGCTTGCCCTATTTTCCTGTAGGACTTCAGTGCTTGAGAAAGCTTCTAAATCAGTTTGGGAGCTTATTTTGGATAACAATGGGATAGGAAAGGAAATAAGTGAAACGGTTGAACAAGTATTCTGTCGGTTGAGTGGAAGAGAACCACCATTATTTGTATCGGATTTTGGACCTCAACCAGAGAAAGGGAAAGAGAAAAATAGTGTGCAAGACAGGCAGAAAGAGGAAAGCCGAGAAACTGGAAAAGATAATTCTGAATCTGCAGCAAAGAAGAGAAAGATGAATACAGAAGAGGGGATTGATGAAACCGTTAGCAAACCTAGTGACAAATCAACCTCATCAGATGATTCTAGTAAAATGCTGCCACCAAATGCAAAAAGGCAACACACTTCCTGAATCAACTCCATTGTCTTATCCATCTTTTTTCATCTTTTAGTGAGGGATTTCTTTTCTTCATGCCCTCTTTTTTCCTTCATCTGTTTTTGGTTCAGATACCAGGAGAATCTTTGACATCAGTACTTCTACATATTTAACTTGTAACATGGTCTGTTAATACTAAAATTAGAACTGTTCACTAGGCGTTAGGTTCTTTGAAATCTATGTAGCTTATCAGTTCAAAAATTAATTCCTGGGCTTCCAGAATGAGCATTGCTTTACGTTTCAGTTGTGTAGAATATCCAAAACGCTCTTCTTTTGGGTTGGAGTAGAAGGATGTTTGAGTTATGTTCCCCACTAGCTCGACACTCTTCTTTTGTGTTGGAGATTTTTGCACATTATATGTACAAGTTGTCAAAAGCTTTAACTTAGCTCCATGTCTTATTTCAATATTTATTCTTCTTAGATCATAAAGATTCGTCCAATCTCAGGTTAACTGCTCTTTTTGGCACATATAGAGTTGCTTGAATTTCTCAATTTTCACCATTTCAAAAAAACAAAATCTGATATACCTTGACTAGACAAACTCTAGATTATCATTCAACGTCTTTTTTTTTTCTAACATATGTTGCTTCTTGTAACCTCCAAAATTATGCCTTTTGTACATCTCCTGACTTAAGTGCCCGTTTGGACATAAAATTTGATGGAAGATTTTTCCAAAAAAATATTTTACTTTTTTCGAAATCAGCGTTTGTTCATAAAATTTTCAATTTTCACTTGAAGATGCATTTTAGAAATTTTTGAAAATTTGAAAAACTGCAAAAGCTGTTTTTCAAAATTTTCCCTCAAATCACTCACAAAACTTAAAAAACAACCCAAACTGAAATTTATGTCCAAACACAACTCTAATTTCAAATACCATTTTCACTTTGAAATTTTTTTTCACCATTTGTTTGAATTTTACAATTCTTATGTCCAAATGCCTACTTAGTATTTTCCCACTTACCCATTTAAGTTCACATACTTTATCCTTGCATACCTTGGTATGCATCATTAGAAATTGACTTTTATTTGTACCACATTCATCATCTGGGAGGAATTTAAAGTTTCCATGGCCATCTTTTACATATGGCATGCTTCGGCTATCGTCAACTCGTACCCATATATTTCTTGTGTGTCACTTATATCATATAACCAAGTTTTTCTTTTAGCTCTTCACCGCTCTGCTGATACAAATTGAATTTGCTTTTAGCCACACTGTTGACACATTAAAACATGCATGTACTAATTATAGAAAGTCAAATGTCGTTGGCTCTAAGAGAGGTTCTTCACATGTAGTGAAAATTTCTCCGTTGTGCTTCCTCACTAAAGAATGAGAACATAACTGGACAACATTTAAAGAAAATATGCATAATCGTAGCAGCAATAGTTAATTGTCATTCGTTATATTTTATTATGTTTGCAATGACATGGAGAAGTTCAAAAAATATTTCATGTCAAATACACATAAAATATATTTGGATACATCTAAAACACAAATGATACATTAAATATGTATAATACACACATCAAATATGTACATTTATTTATAGGTCATATATTCAATCTCTTAAGTGACTTCTGAACACTAGCTAGCTCTGGACCTATCTATATTAGCCAGAGCGATCACCAAGCGGAGTTGAAGAAAAGAGACTTGACATGCCAAAACTTCGCATGCGAGCTCGTAACGAACGGAGCAAAAGGGATCAAAAGTTCGAAAGTCCTTGTCTTTCTCTGTATCGGTAGTAGCATCAGCCTCATTGCCCGATATGACTTGATAGTGGTATAAGGATTTTCCTATAGGTGGTTCGCTTACTGTGATATTTCAATGCTTCGGGGTAGAAGATGTCGAAGGAACAAAGAGGTGTATATAATATATAAATTTATAAATATAGTTGCATTATATACAAAGAAGAAGTAGACTGAAGACAAAAAAAAATGGGAATAGCAAAAGTAAAGGGACAAAGTATTATGTAGGATTTGAAAAGATTTATGTAGATTAAAAAATTAGCCATCTAAAAATCTCAAGGGGGAATTATTGTCACGATCAAGCACTTTGCCGAGAGTCTATCAGAAATAACCCTCGACTTACTCTCCCAAACTCCACTTTTGTGGAATTTTACTGGGTAGTTGTTGTTGTTGTTTTTGATCAAGCCCATGCCATGTATTGTCCATTTTGGCCCAACAAACCTCACGAATTTGTCGTTTGGGTTACGCTATCATCAAGCCCAAAAGCGCGCGTACCATGTGAACTTTGGTGGTACCTTATAAAGTTTTTCATTTTCTCTCGATGTTAAATTCGCATAAAATGATATTTGCATCCCTTCTTTATAAGCTTGCTAATTTAGAAGTCTGACAATCTTGCTTGACCTGCCCTCTGCCATGCGCATCACAATTATCATGAAATTGTAACTGATACGTTATTTGCAAGCGAGACTACAGCCTACTGCTGACCAAAAACGCGATATAGCATGATACCCGCCTTTGAGTTAATGCTGCTATTTACTTCACTTTGGTATGCATTTAGCTGGTAAAGATGCTATCTTTCTAAAAATTGAGGCCCTTCTGCTGCAAATGGTACTAAAAACCATTACTTTTGTTTATTTTTATTTGGTAAAATACGTTAAATCACCCCTAAACTTGGTTCAGATTATTAGTATCCCCCGAACTATGCCCGATCTTAATTACCCCCCTCAACTTGGTTTTTTGAGGGTCATTACCCCCCAGACGCTGATGTGACAAAAAGTGTGGGTGCACTCGCCTGCCACGTGGATTTTTCTATCTATATGGCATTTTTTTGAAAAATAAAATATATTTTTACCTGTTTAAGAATATTACCTTTTTAGATAAAAAATTTCGAATAAAATTTATAATAAAACTTGGATATAACTACATTATTTAGACTAAATATTTTTATTTGGCCAAAAATAATAAAGTTTTAGTTAATCTTTTCTTGAATTTGATTTGAAAATAAAGATTTATACAATTGAAATAAATAGTCAAGGCATCTAAAAAGTTATAAAAAATATATAATTGAAATAAATAGTCATTGCATCAAAAGAAGAAATAAAAAGAGTGTACAATTGCACTTGTAATTTCTTGCAATTATACACTCTTTTTATTTCTTCTTTTGATGCAATGACTATTTATTTCAACTGTGTATTTTTATCTTTTTAGGTAAAATCTGTAAAAATAAAAAATAAAAAATAAAAAATAGAGCACCATAATTTAGAGCTATACAAAAAATTATAGCCAAAATAATTAATTTCAAACTACATATTTTTTATAACTTTTTAGATGCCTTGATTATCTATTTTAATTGTATAAATCTTTATTTTCAGGTCAAATTCAAAAAAAGATTAACTAAAACTTTATTAGTTTTGGCCAAATAAAAATATTTAGCCTAAATAATGTAGTTCTATCCAAGTTTTATTATAAATTGTATTCGAAAAAAACTATCTAAAAAGTAATATTCTTAAAAAGATAAAGAAATATTTTATTTTTCAAAAAAATGCCAGATAGACAGAAAAATACATGTGGCAGGTGAGTACACCGCACTTTTTGCCACATCAGCATCTAGGGGGGTAATTAAGACCAGGCATAGTTCGAAGAGGATACTAATAATCTGAGCCAAGTTTAGGAGTGGTTTAAGGTATTTTGCCTTTTTATTTTGTTCAACATTTTTTCAGTATTTGCTTCAGTTGAAGTTAGCTAAAGAGAATGAAAGATTTTGAGTCCCGTCTGTACCGAACATCGGCATCGACAAGAGTTGATTCTTTTTCCTTTATTTCATGTTTAAAATGCTTGGATGGAACAAAATATCTTCGATGTTCTTCAATGACCATTACATAACGATCCTCAGCTTCTAAATTATCACCCCGCCATTGCTGTGGGAAATTTTGCAGGATCACGGAACATAGTTTGGACTACATGATGACGGATTTCGTAAGTTGCATTCCGTAAGACAACAGGCTTCGAAGATCTAATGCAAACAAATACTCCCTCCGTTTCAATTTAGATGAGATAGTTTGATTCGGTACGTAATTTAAGAAGAAGAAAAAAAAACTTTTAAAACTTGTGATCTTAAAAGCTTTGTGGGGCCATGATATTTGTGTGATTATAAAAGCTTTTCATTAAAGGTAAAATGAATAAAATAAAGGGTTTAAAGTTGAATTATTTCCAAATTTAGAAATGTGTCATTTATTTTGGAACAGACTAAAAAGGAAAATACCTCATCAAATTGAAACGGAGGGAGTAGTACATTTTAAAGAAAAGGGACCCCCATTAATCAAGAGTTACAAAGTTGTTATCTCTCTTGACAAAGACTAACAAAAAAGGGCAAGTTAGAGCATCTTAACCAAAAGCTGGTTCTCTCTTCACCTATATTGAAAGGAAAGACATTTTTGAATTAGTACCTAGCCAAATCAAGAATTCAGACATTTTTGGGGGTTTGGCTACTCTTAACAGTTCCATTGATACCTGCTTTAAAGATTTTTTTTATTAAGAGGAGTGCAACAGTTGTTTATTTTGTTAATGGAGGCACCAACATGTCCACCTTTCTTTTGTAGGGGAATTTGATTCTCGACACTGCACTCAGCAAGCTAGTATTTTGAAAATATAGGCTAAGACGAAAACTGCCCGTGACTAAGAAAGAGTCCACACACACCAATACTAGCTATGCTTGCACCCTGCTTGCTGATTAGACAGTAAACATTTCCTGGTCATACATTGATGGAAACTGAAATAAGGTCTCTTTGTCTTCTCTGTTTCTTCCTTCCTTTTCCCTTCTTTCGTCTTTCTTTGCCTGTAAGAAAATAAAGATGCCAAGAAGTCATCAATCCATATCCAAGAAACAGTGACGGCCGAGGAGTCTACTATATAGAAGCTAAAGCAAATTTAAGAGACTTCCCTTCCGTCAAATCTTACCTTCCATTCTTGGCAAAAGGGAAAATCCATATGTCCTTGAGATTTATGAATTATATGATACAATGGTGAAAAAATCAAGGCTGCTTGTTCGACATTGATGTGCACATGCAAATATGAAATAAGGAGCAAAACAAAACTACATCTCCGGGCATAAGGTCCAGAATGAATGAGATGGCGAACTCGGCCTACAGGTGGACAATTTGTCACCAAAACAACTTAAATATTCTGTACTCTGGCTATCAAAATGCCAAATCAAATATTTGCTTGTAGTCATCCACAAAGTGTACATCAAGGCCTTCCTTGACATTAGGAGCAAGCTCGTCAAAATCTCTGCGATTGGCTGAAGGGAATATTATAGTTTTC